ATAAGGAGAGGCTTAGCATAAATTGTCCTGGTGTCAATACAATGGTAAATAAAACTTAAAAGAAAAGAACAATTGAAAGCGAGGTTTCTGATGGTTCTAATGACTAAACATCCTTTTTATCGCACACCATGCAGGGGTAGACATTGTGTTACACATTCTGATAATAGTTTAATGTCATTACATACATAAATTAGTTACAATAAGTGGTTGGAATATGATACTAAATTAAGTATACTTTAAAAATTCATCAATCTTACTTTCACAAATGTGAAATCTTCAAACAAATATCAAAATTAATTCAATCAACTGAATATGACAATTTTACATAATCAATACCATTTCATTTATTTTCAATGAAAGAAAAAGATGCATTACCTAATTAGAAAAGTTGTGGTAAGTAAATCTTTCCTATTTGGGTACGAAAGTATTGAGTACTAAAGCAGTGAGCACAAAAGTGGAATAAATTTAAAAACAAGTGTAACATGTCTATGCATTATATTTAAATATGGTAACTATGAAGTTTAGTAAATACATGTATCTATTTTTATACGACATGTCGTAGTTGTGTTCTCGAAGGCATTATATTGAAATGTTATCTAAGGATGGGGTAGGGTTAGGGATGTGTGTTACCAATTTTGGAAGTTAATGTTTTAAGGCATTCCTTCGTCGATATACCTGGCCCAAAAAGTTGCGATTTGCCAACCAAAGTCATTCGTTCTTTTAATTTAAGGCAGTCCAACTTAAACACAGCGAAAACTTCCTTTGCAAAGTCAGTACAATGAAATGTAATTTTTTAAATACAGAATTGCCGTTTAATGATAAAAAGAATGACATTTAATTGAGTTATTTGTTGTTTTTTTTTTTTCGTTTTCTGAACTATTTTTATTGCGTAACAATAAATCAGATTTTGAGAGATTTGATTATTATCCCTCCAAATCAACTCTGGGTAAAGCGGCTTGCCAAAAAAAAAAAAAAAAAAAAAAAAAAAACCGAAATATTAATTGAAACTATCTGACCAAAGAAAGGAGACTATAACCATTCCATCACTTATTTAATATACCAGGATGTGTGACCAATGACACAACTATTGTATTGTTGTCACGGAAGAGCGACAACATGTACAACAGTAACATCACGGATTTATATTACAATATAAATCCGTGGTAACATGTATAATTATGAAAACGAAATGTATATATACAAATGCGGGGTGGTAATACTTCATAACATTGTTATAAGAATTTCAAAATAATTTAAATAACAATGTTCTGTAACTTCAGCTACAGCCGTGCCAACAAGAAAACTTCAATATTGATTTTATGTCATTTAGCATAAGCTATATGATACGAGATTAGAAAGTTCATTTAATAATAAGTACATAGAGTGACTTAATACATATTAAGTTAAACATTTACATACGTGTAGCACTAGTCCGTATCCACATACACATTCCGATCACATCACTTTACATGTTACACACATATCATGTTTGACTTAATGCCAAAAGCACCAGGAGCGTATCAAGACAGTGTTTTGGAAACTGTAGAGAAGCTGTGACGACACCCAAGAGACACATTTCTCATTTCCATGAAACTGCTTATTTTGAAAATTTTACTTTCAATATAAAAACAATAATTTTTCGGAAATCTGTTCTTTGCCACACATATGCGCCATGTTTATTTTTTATTCAACTAAATCACTCAAATCTATATCTCTGTGTTCTCGTTATGCGAATGAAAGATTTCCAAGTATCTTCAATTAGCTTAATTATGTTTTATTAGGAAATGAATGTTAACACATATTTGGAAGTTAGTAAAAATCAGTTCTCCCACATATGTGTATTCTTTTATAGAAATTTAAAACAAGTTCATTTACATGTAATGTCAAAGGTACAAATTAGCTGACACAAGGTCGCAGATAGTACTTATCTGAAGATTTGCTGCTGTAACATTTAAAGTGTATGTAAATCTGTTCTGTTTTTTCAATATTATATTTGAAAATCAAATGACTCCAGTCCCTTTTTAATTCAATTAATCTAGTTTCATTAGACCATGCGAGTTATTTATTGTTCATGCGAAGCAAATTATAAAATTGAAAGGAATTATGGCCAAATGTGAACTTTTTTACTTTTACTTGCTTGTTCACTATATACCCTTGGATGGGCATAACGTCACTTTAACATTTAACCCATTTTAAAAAAAAAACAAGTTATTGTATATTAATTTTGTTTATTCGTAATGATTTAAAAACTTAATAACTTGTAAACATCCTGGTTAATAAAATACTTAAATCCCCTTTGTTATCCAGAAGTATATTCAAGGAAATTTGCATTTGTGGCTATTATATAGTGCAAGATAAGTATTGTACATAATTTTCATATTTCATAGTCACTGTACATGTTTATCGCATAACTTGTTTTGAATATCAAATAACAAAGGAGTCTTTAAGTTGAAAGAATTTAGGCAGAGTTTAATTAAGTTTATTGTGCTTTTATTTATTGGAAAATATAACATGATATCGACGTTTTTTTTAATCCCCACAATTCACAAGCATATGATATATTTTGATACTAGAAATCGTTGAATGAAACAAATACAGCAAACGTTGTTGAACAGATATTGATAGGCCAAATGAATTTATGCGATTTTATAATACTTAAAATGATAGCTTTACTTGCTAGCTCAACTAATTTGGACTTTGAAAAGTTGCCATTATATTTACAAAGAACACCAAGGTTCGGCTATTCAATAATATTTTCTTGTTGTTTGCCATTATAAAAATTAGGGTTTAGGGTAACAACTTTGTATTGGTACACAATTGCTTAAATTGATCAAAATGGTTCACAAGATAATTTTATTTATAATAGATATATTGCAGCTGCATAAATTATCTTGTGAACCATTTTGTTTTATTTTGATCAAGATAAGCAATTGTGTACCAAAACAAAGTTGTTACCCTAAACCCTAATTTATGTATATATAAACATTAGCATCACAATTGATCAATGAAATCAACGTTATGAGCATGCACAACAAAATTACATGAAAATTGTAGGAACGGTTTGATTGAGCCTGTACATGAGGGATAATGAAAAAGTGTAAAAACCCTCCCGCCCACTAGTTCGAATCAATGATACCGAAGGACCAGAAAAATATAACAACACTTAGGTCAAGTACGGGGCAAAAAGTTTTCATCTAAATGCTATTTCAAACGATAAAACTTCCTTAGCTTATATGACAGAAATTGACTAAAATTAGAAGTAATATTCGCAGTCTGTCAATATAATATTGTTGTTCTTCACATTGAACTTTATGCATTATTTGCTACAGAAATCAGTATACATTTGTAGATTACAAGCTTAAATTTAACCCTTGCCCAGAAAGTGCTTTATGATAATAAGAAAATGACACTCAAGCGAAAGGTATAAACAAAAAGTTAATCAAAATCTATAACTTCAACTTTATGACAGGATAAGAACGGTGCATCAGGGAAGAAGATTGCTGTCTAATTTTAGGAGAAAAATGAATGCAAATAAGGGGTGAGGGGAAATGTTCTAATTTTATTGATAATGCAAACAAACTTTTGAAGGAATTTACTAACCTTTTGATATTTCTTCATCATTATAATGTTTTTAATTGTTATTGATTGCACAGGTTACGAGTAAGATAAATAGAATCGGCAAAAATCTGGGGACGTGCAACTTTATGAATATTGGTATGTTTCAGTTATTGTTTAGTTTAATGGGTTAAATATAACAAATTTATTGAAACGTTTTCATTTGCAAAAACAATGCAGACTGCTATTTTCTTTAATGTATGTCACATATCTTTGAATAATTCTGAATTTCTGAGCAACTGGTCAGAGACATAGATATTATTATCTATGTCTCTGAACTGGTTAACTACTTGTGTAAAGGGTTTTGAAATATTTGGAACTGTACTTTAGATCACTGCGATCTTCAAAATTGCTTATTTAAGGTATCCTGCCCTCTAACGACACAATCAATTCTGTTTTAAAATTCTATTTTAAGAGTTTAAAAGTAAGGCGGTCACGACAGTTTTTCGAGGGCGTTTCTCTTAATCTAAGATCTAAATACTGTTAAAACCTTAGAAATTTACCTTTTTCAGTTACTGAAAACTTGAGACAGACTAATACAATTTAATTGTATTATTTAGTTTGGCATTCTCATATTTCAACATGTAAGTTTTGTGTTCAAACACGATCAATGTTTCTTTATATAAAACAGAACATTTCCTTCATTCATTACATTATCTTAATTAAAGTCATTGTGATACACGAGGTTGATTATTACAATAGTATCGCAGTCGATTATCAAATGTCGATGATTTATTAGAGTGGTTATTTCGCCTTATGATACATTTCGTGATAGCAACTGTATCATATTCAACCATAGTTTTAAGATATCTGACACAAACCCATTCGGTATGAGCAATGTAATATTAATAATAATGAGCAGCGCTATGGCAAAACTAATGTAATGGTTTTACGACCAACCTTCGCATTTGCAGGATCAATGATGCTATCAGTTTCTCTACTTGTAATAGGGTTTGTGAGCGAACAGCAAGGATCCTGATCAGACTGCGCGGAACGCTGGTCTGGATCCATGCTGGTCGCAAACGTACTATGTTGGTTTTGTCAAAGCGCGGCTCATATTTATATTGATGCATAGCTTTGTCTTCAATCTTCTATAAATATAGGCTCAACAGAAATAGCTTACCTGTTTATGTTGTGCATTGGTATAAAATTGTGATATAAATTATTATTTCCACTTCATTTCAACACGGCCAAAAATATAACTATGGCAAAGTAAATGGAATGTGTTATCTTTTTCTTCTTTGTTCCATTGTATAAGATCATATTGTTTTCTTATTTCATAACGAGAATTTAATCAATATCTTTAAGATTATTTTATGAAATAAATAATGACGTGTTATCAACTAACAATATTGTGCGTTATCATTACAATACATTGAGATGTGCAGACGATATATAACACCTGAACAATTGAACAATACGACATGTAGACCACATGATTACTGATACATTTCAAACCTTCGTAAAAAGTAGAGAATACATAACTATATAAAATTAGTAAAGCAATAGCTATACCAAAAAAGGAGAGTAAAATTAATAAAATGAAAAGGATTGCTATAATAGGCGCCGGCGCTAGCGGGCTTACCGGAATAAAATGTTGTTTAGAAGAGGGACTCGAGCCCGTGTGTTTCGAACGCGGGGACTATATCGGTGGGCTATGGCATTACACTGGTGAAAGTCAGGATAATCAGGCGTGTGTGATGAAGTCTACAGTGATAAACACGTCGAAGGAGATGATGTGTTACAGCGACTTTCCTATACCCGAGGAATACCCTATATACATGCACAACACGTGCGTGGATCAGTACTTTCGCCAATATGCTGACAAGTTTCAACTCAAGAAATACATCAACTTTAATACAGAAGTGAGTAATCAAATACTGAAATTATAATCGTTAAGTAGTGTAAAAGTATTTAACAACAGTTAGAGTGGACTAACCGTCATTCTTAGTTTAACTTTGAAACTTATGCATGTAGATCATAAAATAGATACTTTACATAAATAGTGTATCACAGAATAAAGTAGCATGATAAATATTGACTTTACTACATTATTTCAAAACCAATTTTGCTGATTTGGTCCAGATCTTTCCTTTTTGTCCGTGCTCTGGGTCTTAAGTTATACGGGTAATTACATTAAAATGTGTGTTGATTCGCTAACGCTACAAATATCTTAACACTTGTCAAGCTTTAATAGTCTTGCCTATTTTTTATATCTGGAAAAAGTCATTCATCAGTTTATGTAACATTTCGAAATATGTATTGGCGGAATAGCGAACTATGCAGGTCATGGTCAGACGTCACGGGTGTGCCGGCTGATCTTGGTTTTCATTGGTCACATTGATGGATTTATTTGCCACCAGCAGGGTGAAGGTTGAACTGGGCCAACTCATGATGAAATATTATGAATATGAGATAGGTTATAAAGCCTTCTCAGAGCAAATGCACGGACGGACACCTGAGGTCTTCCGTCACTACTAAAGCTGGAATGTCGCCATATGACATATACTGTGTTGGTGTGACTTAAAACTCAACACAAAAAGAGCAAAAGTAGATGTTGAAGATTATTGTTTAATTTGAATAAATGTTTTGTTTGTTGTTGCTTTTGTATATCTGTTTTGATGTTGTTGTTTTTCATATCAGGCATATTTTAAAATATCATGCATCATTTGTGTTGCCTATTTATTTTAAAGGAACTCCACTGAGGTTTATAAGCGTAAAAACATAAAATTTTAATTTTTCACATAGATAAACATTAGCACTTAAAACAGAAATACAAATAAAATATAACCAAGAAATATACAAGACATACATTGAAAATCATATGTTTGTGCTATGCTAATTCCGATTTGATTGAAAAGCGTTTAAACGCTTTTCAATTTTTGATCATTTTTCATTATGATAATAATTATTCTGGAAAAATGAAGCGAGCTGATGATCTGATATTTTGCACATAAGTTATAAGTATAGATCTACATCACATGGAGTAATAATCTCAAAAAATATTTCCAGTCCTATCATGTCAAAAACCCTCAGTGGAGTCCCTTTAATAAATTCTTTTTTACGACAACAATATTTCTTGTGTGAAACTTTTCTATTTGGCATCTCTAAAGTACTAAAGGATCTCAATTTGAGATTTTATTATTTCTATGCAGTTTAAGTTTGCATGTACTGATATATACTTATAGTGCATATTTGACTGACATATGTAAACAATAATCAAAGTTTAACTTAAGTGTATATATTTACTTTTCAGATATAAGTTGATAAGATAGAATAATATCAGATAAAATGTCCCGCAAATTGATAATTATTCAAAGTACTATGTGTTATGTTACAGATGAATTATTTTCATCCTTATGAATTGCTGTAATGTTGTTCAGATGGGAAACACTTTTGTCACAGTCGTAAGACTTTTGTTTTGCGGTAGACGGTGCTACGGGGCATGGCCATTAGATTACGCCAATCATTACGGTCAAAAACGGCTTACTTAACCTGAGTCTGAAAAATTGTCAGACGAGTTTGTCGGTTGTTTTTCGTTGGCCTATCAACTGACAATAGGTTTAAAACAAAATATAATTTTAGGTACTGTCAGTGACACCAACAAGTGATCATGAAGAAACTGGCGAATGGGAGATTAAAACGAAATCTAAAACTTCTGATGAAAAAGAAACTCACGTCTTTCAAGGCGTTCTTGTGTGTACCGGCCATCACGCTGAAAAGAATGTACCCGAATTCCCCGGTTTGGATAAGTTCAAAGGAAAGGTGACGCATACACACGAATATAAAGATTTCCATGGTTACGAAGATAAGAATGTTTTAATAATTGGTATAGGAAATTCAGGCGGTGATGTAGCTACAGAGCTTAGCCGTATATCTTCAAAGGTATATATTTGTATAAATAAAGTTAAATTTATTTTTCAAGGTTGCATCTCTTTATACAAGTTATCATCATTAGTATATATATTTTATTCTAAACTTTACCTTGGTGCCGACAGGGACTTTGGATTTTATCATGTGTGGAAGCTATCCAGCTAGCTTACGGAACGTCGGTGGTTCTACTCAGCCCGTTCGTGCCTTCGGTCAGTAAAGCCGGAACGTCGCCATATGACCAATACTGTGTCAGTGTGACGTAAAACCAAATCAAACAAACAAACAAAAACATTGGCACTGAAATGTTGGTGCTTGTTATTATCGAAACTATTTTTAGTAAATATTTCAAATATCTTTCAAACGATTGGAAAGATTATACATAATATTTAAACATCATTCTTAAACGATAAAAACATTTGATTAAACTAAAACTTTATAATAGTAGTAAACTCATTTGTCGATACGAAGAAAAGGAAAAAGGTTGTCTAAGAGTTATATATGTTTTTACCACCAAGGTCTATATGAGCACACGTTCTGGATCGTGGCTTTTTAATCGTATATCTACGAATGGTAACCCCGTCGACATGACCAACACAACACGATTCTATCAGGGTATATTTGATATGTTTCCTGCGTTTGGTGAAGCGACTATGGCCCTGCAGCTCAGCAACAGGTTCGATCATAAGAAGTATTGTCTGCAGCCAAAGCATGGTCCACTGTCTGCTCATCCTACAGTGAATGATGAACTTCCAAACAGAATAGCTGCAGGTGGTGTAATCATAAAAGCTGACGTTGCTAAGTTTACAGAGACTGGCGTAGAGTTTGTAGACGGTACTACAGTCAACGATTTAGACTGTGTTGTTTTAGCTACGGGTTATATATTTGGTTTCCCATTCATAGACAAGTCTGTCCTAGAAGTAAAAGATAACCGAGTTAATCTCTACAAATGGATGTTTCCACCAGACAGGACAAAACATACCCTTGCAATCATCGGTTGTGTTCAACCATTTGGCGCAATAATGCCTCTTTCAGAGTTACAGTGTCGCCTTGCGACCCGTGTTTTTAAGGTATGGTGATTACTGTTGATCGTTTTCTATAGGAAATCATATTTTATTCATTGTATGTTTTAATACATGCACGCACTAATCTTAGAAATCTTAGACTTTTTATATTTTATAATAAAAAATGAGTCAATTATTAAAATTCCATCATTGTACTAAAATGCATTTATTGCTGTCTTATTTATATCATCTGTCGAGTTCTAATGTTTTTTATTGTTTAAATTTAAGTCTTAATCTACAAAAGAAATGAAGTTAACTTATTTGATAAAACAACGAAAAGACATATTCAGTGAAATTCACGATCTATATATACAATCATCAGACTCTCTTAAATCTATATGAACAATATAATACATAAAATGCACACTATGCCTAAGAAACAATGCATTTTCCCTTCAAACATGAGTTTCATATAATGTTCAAATATTGGTTTAAGAGAGTGTTTTAACTTAGATATTGATCATCTGAAGAAAGTAGCAAAATGTAAACATAGCAGTATTTTGACTTGCATACAAAATACTTAAACACGAGAACTGCACTTATTGTCAAAATACAATAAAGGCAAAAGATAGTTCAGGTTATTTGTCAATAAGCTACTTTTTGCAGAAAAGAACAAGACACCAAAACAAAACAATACAAATAAAGGACATCTTTGAGATCTAAAATTAAAAGCAAATTATGAAATAATGGGCCTTTAAGCATTCTAATCAATGAGTATGATTGTTTTAATGTATTTCAGGGTATTACAAGACTACCGGAACGCTCAGAATTATGGCGGGACATCAGAGAAAAACAGGATGCCATGGCCAACAGATACAAGAAATCACAACGTCACACTATTCAAGTAGACTTTATACAGTTTATGGATGACCTCGCCAAGTTGGTTGGCTGCAAACCGGACTTAAGTGAGTTTATTATTACTCAGTTTTTAACTTTTTCTGTGTTTATTAATTATACTAGACTATGTTATATTCATTTATCTCTACCATTAATTATGTGAATTTGTTAATGGCGTCACTGATCGTGGTAAATATCTTGTTTGAAAAGTATGCTGATAAGGCGCTTTGCTGGTCCTTTTATTGGCATACACATCTTTCATTCTAGCTCATGGCCTTGTCGACATATATTTACCACGTCTAAAAATACTTAAAACCTGCGGAGCTAAGTTTGGTTTTTAATAAAAGAAAATATGTATATTTTATTTAATTTTCAGAGCAACTTTTACTGAAGGATCCTATATTGGATATTAGATGTATATTTGGGCCATGTACGCCTTACCAGTTCCGTCTGACGGGACCAGGTAGATGGACAGGTGCCCGACAAGCGATTATGACTCAATGGGACAGGACGTATAAGCCGCTCCAAACGAGACCATGTGATGCAAGGTCATACAAATTCATCGCAACAGTATACTTGTTAATTGCCCTTGCTGTTGTGATATTTTTGTATTTTGCTGTATAATCAGAAGCATTACAATAACTAACTTATCATTTACTTGATGAACGGTAAATAAAATGGAAGACAGATATTTTGTTCTGGAACATTTTATTTTGTTTACGTACAATAATAAATGTGTTTAGCAACACAGGCATTTAATGCTAACTCTCTTTCGAGAATCGAACATAAAACAATTGAAACGAGATAATATTAATGTTAAAAAACTTTATAAGAATATTTCCTTATAGCCTTTAAAATTATGCCTGTAGGACTAAGCTGTAATCTGGCGCTTTGTTGTATGAAAACATGTGTATATAGATAAAAGATTATATGTTCGGATTTTAAATACATCTGTATCACTTCATTAAGAGATAGGTCCTCTCGTGTTTTTCTCCGAATAGTTAGTTCATTATTTGCCCCTTTGCTCAAAGGTACATTTCTAACAAAAACTCGTGCGGAACAATGCATTAAGTCTGATTTATTTCTGGCTTTCCATGTTGGCTATAAACATTGTATATGTTTAATGCTAAATAGAATTTATGTTATGTTATGTTATGTTATGTTATGTTATTTATTACTGGCTAATAAAGCTGGGGGATGTGGGTTAATTCAAACTTTCTGGTGATGCCAACATTTAATGAGCAATTGTTACGCAATTAACAAAACACTTCTTTATAATCGATTGCTTGATCCAGCCACAGTAGTCTTGAACTTACGAATTCTACGTTGACATCTCGTCATTGCTAGCTTAGTAGCCTGTATATGAAGTCTATACAATTGACTCATTCTCGTATTTGTAGAATATATATATATACATATAGATAAAAGAAACCATAAACATTTCTAAATTGGTATATTGTCTAATCAATCAAAATTACATTTATGTTAAAACATATTTTAATCATGCATACACATATAACAACAACAACAACAACAATTACAACATTTAACAACTTAAATTATAAATCATAATAATAATAATGAATGGCAATAATAATTGCTCATGTGTCAACATTGATGTCATTTCATATATACCTTATCTACACATGGCATCAACAGTTTCAGTAACAAAAAAGAAAGAAAGAAAACAAGCCTTAAAAGAAACCAGTTCAATCACGCAATAAACTACACATAAAATGCAGGCTCAATGCCACTTATTGACGCCAAAGAACGTTGTCCAGCACTCATCGTTCTCGTTCGGAAAAGTGGCGGAGGAACTTCATCTGGCTGTGTTGCCTGTGAACCATTTCTTCCTCGAATTGACATATGCCTATTACATTTAATAGAAACGAACACCGAATTAAATAAAAACGGGGCAAAGAGAGGGCATCATAAATATTTTATCTATCACTTGCGCACTCGATAGCTTCTGCGTGCGCACACGATAGCTATTACATGCGCACGCGATAGCCCTACGTTGGTCAATAATTATGTGCACACGTACGTAATAACTATTGCGTGCTCACGTAATAGCTTGAACGTACGCACGTAGTAGCTATAGCGTGCGCACGTGGTAGCTATCGCGAGCGCAAGAAGTTGCTATGGTGTGCGCACGTGGTAAATAAAATATTTCTGATGGCCCCTTTTAAACCACCGTAAAATTGTTACGAACGTGTTTTATCCGAATTTTTCATATATCAGGTGAAAAGATATCATTGCAAATTCCACTTGTCAAGCTACCTTTTTAACTTATTTTCCATTAAAACATTTGTATAGATATTGAAGTGAATGTATTTCTGAAGCAAAAGGTTTCCGAAGAATATTCATATTTTAAACCAGTAAATAAAAAAAAAGTTGAGATACTAAAATTAGTTTTGAAACCAGATCCTTACGTAAAGTCGGTAAAGGTTATGTATTATTGATATAAATCTTTTAATTTTAACACAATATACATAGAGATAGGAATTTTCAATATGACAAAGTGTGACCTTGAACCCCTGCGCTCTGCTCAACGTCTCATGATTATCATTTCTGCCAAATAGTTTCAATTTCCTTCAATCAGTTTAAAAGATACATTGTGGACACAAAATTTCGAAATTTATACATGCAGGACTTAGTGTTGCCTTGACCTTGATCTGGGGAATCCCCAATCATGAAATTCATATATGCATGACTATGAATGGCCTTGACCTTGATCTTAGGAATGCTACAAACATTGTCCTACTACCTTCTATCGGTTCAATAATATAAAGTGGGAATGAATTTGCTGTCGGACGGAAAGACGGACGGAAAAGCGGTAGTCCGAATTTATTTCAGGTGCATAGGAACGTGAGCATTCTTTCAATAAAACTGAAGTTATCTTTATTTAGAGATAGGGAAATGACAAATAAGTGTTGTGCTTTCTGGCGCGGATTTGTCATAAGCTCGACTTATTCTAGATATATATCCCGTGTAGATAAAAACAACTTCAATACAATACTAGTTACAAACCATCCAGAATCTTAAAAAACACAACAAAAACGGTGTACTTGTTTAACAAACATATTTAATGTATATGGACAATTATTCAAAATCTCGCATTAAGATACTATACCTATTATGATGCGGCCTCATTCTGTCATCATCGTCACTATCAGACTCGGAACTACCTGTACCACTGTCGGATTCTTCATGATTAGTTTTGTCCTTATTGTTCCTGAATCTATTCATTTTAACAGCATCTTCTGCTTTGACTCTGGTTCTTGCATGACCTAATGATTTCTTCACTGTTGAGCTCATAGCGTTTTTAGAAGTGGAAGGGTGTACTCGTTTCCTGCGTAAACAACAAAGGCAAAATAATGAACCTTTATAAAAAACACACTCTATATTACAGGAAAAGAAACAACAATACCTCTTGCTTATATTAAGGTTTGAATAGGGGTCCATTTCATCAAAACGAAGAGAACATTTTTGAGGGGATGGGTTGCCTTTACAGGTAGAGACATCAGAATTGTAGCCACCGTTCAACCTTGCGTGATCGTAAGAGGCGACTAAATGGGTACAAATTACTAGTCTATGCATCTTTCAGCTCCAGCTGGTGAGGCGGTTTTGACCCCTGGTGTTGCTTAAAGTTTGTAACACTCGACGGTAGCCAAAATCATCTTTCCTGTTTCGGCAAAATATGACCTTAACTGTATGTGCGCAGAAAAACCAATCAAACAAACGAAATAGAAGCCATTTTCATTCTATTTTAACTTTTCATCAAAATTGAATGCTTACCACTTTTTAGGCTTTGACAAGACACAGGCGTATATAATATGGAGAACAAATAAAATTGCAATAACTCCTTCAATGGCTGTTACGACAATAAGCGTTCTACCAACTCTTGTGCAGGTCAAGCATCTTGCCCCTTCCTTTGCCTTCGAATCGTCCGGATCACCAACAGTATAGTTAAACTCTAATGTTATACCGTGAAATAACGGGTGAGGTTCATTGTCCGATACCTGAAACATAAAGGGGGCCAAACGAGTTTACTTTCCCTTTTATTTTCACCTAATTAACATACAAGCAGTTAAATAACAGCGCGATTTCGGATACATGTAAAAGGACAAAAAAGTTTCAAAAATACTGCAGTCAATTGAAATTTAAGAATCGTACGAAATGAAAAATAGAAAAAAAGAATAATAACGGGGAAAGTGTAAAAATCTATTGGGGATGAATAGCAAACAGCATTGAATTTGCTTTATGGTATTAATATAATATATTCCCATTGAGTAGCAAATGTATCAATTAAAACTCCAGTGAATGTATGGAACTTAGTAGCTTGCACTTTCCAGTACTGTCCATGAAAAGGCTCAAACATTTTCAATTTTGCCGTTTAGGACTTTCTTCAGGGATTCTTATTCTCTCTATTAGATAGAAGAAAGGTTAGATAGCTGATGCATTTGAATTTGCAAATAAATATTGATATATTCTCAAATCAGAATTTACTTCAACATACGAAAATGGCTTTTAAATGCCCATTTAGCCCACTAAAATGTTATATATTCATTTCTCAAATGTTCAAGCTTTTTTAACTTCGGTGTTTCGTTATAGTTTCAAAATAAGTTACTCATTATATATTTAACTGACCCATCTTTTGCTTCTGTTTGCATTTTGGCAGTTACATATAGTCAGTACATTGACAGTGATTTAGTATTTTGTATGGAAGTCAAAATACTTCTTTGTTTACATTTTTCTTTTACGACAAGCCATACTTCTTTGAGGTAATAAGCATCTAATATACTGCAAAGCCATTATAAACTCATGTTTGCACTTCTATAAGAAGGAAAAATTTATTTGTTTTCGAGACATAATGTGCCTTTAAGACATGAACCTCAAACGTCTATTATTATGTTATGCTTAGTCTCATATCAATGAAAACCAAAATGTCGACTATTAGACAAAGTGTCTATATACATAAATATTCATTGTAAGTTTGGGTTCAAATACTAAAGTGTTTAAATAACCGGGCAATTAAAAGGGCTCGTACTTTCTTCTTACATTTCAGTACATGATGTCTTATCTTTTACAATTATCGTTTACAATTCAGAACAGATATATATTGCGAAGGAGTTAATTTGAATTTTGTTTTAAATGTACCTTTACTGATATGGAAAACGTTTTATCATTTTTGAAACCTGGCATTGCCTTGAGTCTAAGATTAGCTGTAGACGGCCCGGTTTTCACCATTCTAAAATATTTAAAGCCTATGCCGCTGCCCAGTAGTGAAAATTCAAAATCGTTGTCGTCACTAAAATCGGAATCACTTGCAGCAAAGCTCATCAAATCGGTACACAGACATGTTGACTGGTTTATCTAAATATATACACACAGTCATATTGATAAAATGTGACATAATACAAGTATATTATTATATTTATTCCTATTATTATTTTAATACAACAAACTATATACATATTAATGTCATCGACCTAAAGATATTATAAAATTATTGAAAGTGGCATGGTTCCACGTTAATAAAATGAATATTATAAAATCACACTGAAGAAAAGTGTATTGATAATGTATTAAGTGTGAAAATATTCAAATTCCAGGTGAAATCAGTCTGACAAACAGATGTTGCTAAAAAGCGCTACGCTACTTGTAAACAAAAGAAAATCTGATCTTTAAAACTAATATTGTTTATTTTCCTCGCAAATTTATACCAAGTAAAAAAATATATCAGCACATTTTGACAAGGTATAGTCACGTGGACAGTACGTGCCTCAGTCTCGGTAAGTGAATATTTTACAAAACTTCACTCATTATTACAAAGTTTTCATAAAAAGTGACACAAATCTGAAAGCGTGCTCCTTTAATCATCCGATAAGAAAAAAAGAAAAGTACCGATATCGGCGATGAACCGGTTACTACAGTTAATATCGGTGATTTGTCATTTGCATCTTCAATGTGTACAGTAATATCAACCGTTGAACTTAGACCTCCTGGATCCTTGCAGCCTATTGTCAGCACACTACTGGTTGGTAATCCATCTGCACTTTCTAAATCCCATACTTTTACTAACGTAATCAAACCACTACGGCTGTTAATACTGGAATACAATCAAACTTACATATAATTATTTGTGAGTTAAAAAAAGAAGAAAAGAAAGTTTAAGATAAGCGATCACCAGCCGTTAAATCCTTAAGATCATAACTCGTGATATCTTATCATTGACCATAATAGTTTGAGCCTTAACACATCATGAACAAACCAGTCGTGATAAATCAAAATCCGTGACATATCATTATGTCATAAAATGCGATGTACCATGTATAACATGTTTTCTATTCAACTGCACCGTTTTTATCTTGAATTAACTTACCTGAAATAGTCTTTTTGAACTCCTGTGAGAATCTCGTACGATGTTACGTCACCGTCGGTATCGCTGCACGAGAGTCCTGGATCTGATAATACTGTATTTGCGCCCTGTAATAAAATATATTTCACCCGTAACCTACTTTATCCGTAAGTGATTTACATATCGTCGCCTTAGTGCAATAACGGAATAAGTCCTTCTTAGTTTAATAGCAGTTAATCAGTTATTGAGCACTTAGGTGACGATATGTTGCCAGGATAATCCAGGTCAGCCATACCCATGAGGTGGTGCTGTCCGGATCACGGCAGTAAACCACATTGAATTTACCAGAGCACAACCACCGCATATAATTGTTCCTGGGCAGGCTGTCAAGAAGTTTACCAGTACTATATGCCTTCACTTTTGCAAGGATCTGAAACTTCTGTACATACAAGGGCAGAATTATAGTGCGAATGACCGTAGACAATTACAACGAAAAGTGACCTGCGCCTTCCGGGAATCGAACCCGGATCGCCTGATTTACAGTCCAACGCTCTGCCTATTGAGCCAACCGGACGCTATCCTGTGAAGTATGGCCGGCTCTTTAACATCTGTGACTAAATTTGTAATTTAATGGTGAAATCCTTTTCAAGTTTAAAAGGTCAATTCTTTGCCCCAAGCAGTATATATCCATGAAAAATCCAGCAGTAAGTTGGTTAAAAAAACTATAATCCTAATACAAGACAGAAGATTGATACTTGTTATAATGTTCTCATTTTGCAACCGTTGTAAATATGTGTATTAAAAATTGTTCTCCAGCATTATATAAATGTATATAATTTTAAAAAGACTAGTTTTTTAAATCTGGAAAGGCAAATGAAGATAAGCCCAACAAGTCGCATTAGCCGCCATTTTGTCTTGTCGATCTTTATAAAAAAATGTTTTTGTCCGCAGTAAACTGTGTAAAAAGAAAAAAATATTAGTCAAATGGTGTAAACTGTTAACAGTCCTTTAGTATTTTGAAAGGTCTTTACATGAGTTTAGGAAAATTCATCATTAATTTCTTCATTACAATGACATAATTATAGGAATTGACCACTACGATCGATTATTATCCGGAACTTGGGAAATGTAGGTTTCTCCAAGCTTATATGTACGGCTAATTATAAACTTTTACGGTTTATTTTTCGTCACAATAGACAAGTGAAATTGTCGCGCATATTTCGAAGCTGTAACTGGAAAAGTTGTTTGTACCTACTGGGAAAAAAAACAAATTCCGGAGTAAGTATTTTGGACGTCAATTAAGAATAATTTTGGGTTTTCCCAGCTAATGTAGTGGTACAAATAAACGCAACTTGTTGACTAATTTATTGTGGCTGTATGTACCATGAAGTAATAACGGTAAAAGATTGTTTGTACCGCGGGATAAACTTGAACAGACAGACATTTGCCGTTTTCCGGATAACATCTATTATAAATGCTATATATTTTTTTGTTTTGCTTGGGTTTAACGTCACACCGACACAGTATATGTCATTTGGCGACGTTCCAGCTTTACTGGTGGAAGAAGACCTCATGTGCCCTTCCTTGCATTATTTCAGGCATGTTTGTTTGTTTGTTTCATTTTACGCGTTTTCCCAACAGTATTTCAGTCAAATAGGCGGGTAGTTTCCTAATCATCGTTCCTGGAGAGTTACACCAGTACTGGACTACCTTCCTCCGCGCTAAACTACCAAAGCATCTCCCGGGGATCGAACCCACGCCAGAAAGGTAACTGGATTAGATGTCATCGACTCTAACCCCTCGACCACGGAGGCGGTCATGAACGGGCACTCGAGTAGAACCACCGACGTTCCGTAAGCTAGCTGGATAGCTTCCTCACATGAAAGAATGCTATATAATATCAACTTAAAAGAAATAATTGTAAATTGAACATACAATATTCTCATAGAAAGAGATAGTTGTTGTTTCTGCAGAAATCGACGTTCCTTCATTGACGTTGGACACTGCAACTTTCAGCGTTTTCTCCGCGAGACCTTCAAGATACTCATCCCTCACGGTTAACGTAAACAAGTAACTGTTGACACGTTCATAGTCGAGAGATTGTTGCAACGTCAATATTCCATCTGGAAAAATAAGTGGTCAATTTATTGGATAATAACACGGGTTTTGAAAAAAAAACTCCCAATCCTAAAGCTCATACTTATGAAACTAATTTCCCGCACTCGAAATTTAAGTCTATGCTTGATAACATAACGCAAACCATATTATAATATTTGGTTATCAACGGATATTCAAACGTTTGCTCCCCAGTGGAGAAATCTGTGCAACTATTTGAGACCAATACATAAAATAAATAATATATTTTGGACAATACAGTCCATGCTTTTGTTACATTTGACATATATGTACGTACAACTTTCTAAAAGTATTAGTTTGATTGTACTTGTGCCTTTGTAATAGCCTGGGATTCAGGAGTTGATATTTTTTGCTTATTCATAACATACGCTGTATTTTATACGCGTTCGTGTTTCTGATAATAATATGTCGATTTGCCGACCAGAAGCACATTAAAAATCGACAGACTCGCACCCAGGCTACCGTTATAGTTTGTCATAATCAAGAATTTCAACGATCTCAAGTACAAGCTTTTTAAGTGATTAGATGATAACGATTTACTGGAGGTATCAAAACTAAATCTTGACGTCTCCGATGCTGGCTCGACCACCACAGAATAAATATGCGTTTCATTGACATCTGGATCAGAAATAACTGCCTCAAAAATTGTAGTTCCTACAGCAGTATCTTCCGTAAAACTTTTCGAATCTGGAAGGTTGGTTATTTCTGGTCGAGTCTTTTCTCCTGTGAATAAAAAGAAGCAATTCAAACATCATACTTATCAGCTGTAACTTATTATCTGAGCTTGTAAATAAATGACTTTTTTGTAATATATATTAAAAATGCTAACTTCGAATAATCACCCCCACACACACCGATGTGGGTTCAAATTCAACAAAGGTGGAATAATTGATTTGTGACGTACAAAAGCCATCGTGTCAGCTTTTGTTTGGTCTGTGGTGTTACTCAATTGCTTTTCCGCATCTGCTCCAGTGACCACTTTTGCATTACTGACAGAAAAAAATATATGGCGGGTCGCAATTTGACCTTTATTTCAGTTTGTGTACCATAAAATCAAATAAGAAAATGACCTGCAGCAAAATATAATATTCTAATTACGAGGTATGTTCAAAAAGTTCCCGGCCCGATATACTTCTAGCCACTACACTGACATTACACACGGTACATCGATACCGATATCTGATTGAAGATTACTGACCGAGTTACACGCAGTTTTACACAGATTAAGTAACATAAAACACACCTTGATCAGTAGTGGGGTTTGTTATTTAGACCAAATGGAGAAAGTAAATGAAACATGGGTCCATCATTTCGATCCAGAATCCGAAATACAGAGCATGCAGTGAAAAATAGTCAGGGAATAATCATGATTGTCTATCTTGAGCAAGGTCGTACCATAAACGGTACGTACTATGCAGACGAATTGAGACGTCTGCGTAAAGAAATCGCGTGTTAAAGGAGGGACAAACTGACTCAAGGCGTTCTGTTCCTGCACGACAATGCGACAGCTCACACATCCCAAGTTGCGATGGCTGCTGCAACTGACTGCGGCTTTAAAATTCTTTCCTATCCCCCATATTCTCCTGCTTTGGTCCCCTCTGGCTTCTACCTGTTTCCGAAACTGAAAACCAAGCTTCGTGGTACACGTTTTAGAAGCAATGAAGGTGTCAGGGACTCGGTCAATGAGTTCTTTGAGGACCAAAATAGAGTTCTATTTTGAAGAGTTTAAACAAATTAGAGTACAAGTGGGCAAAGTGCATTGATGAAGAGGGCGATTATATTGAATAGTTAGACCATTAGTTGGATTCTTTGACTACCGGAAGTACATGGGGCCAAGAACCTTTTGACCAATCCTCGTATATGCTATTTCTTAACTTAACAATTACAATAATACATCGTTATTTAAAACAATGGACATATTTGAAATACCTACGTGTAAACGTGACCTCCAAATGTCTACATTGGTTGGAATGTTTCGCATCTCTAAGACAAATCTGAACACTGTACATCTGACCATTATCATCATCTAGCCGAAGATCGCGTCTGATTTTCAAGTTAACAGATGTTGCCTCTGAAATAACATTTTGATTTTTTTGGCTCAACCAGGTCCCATGTTCACTAAATCGTTTAACATTAAGATAAAATGGAATAAAACAAGACAAATCGGATCAAAATAATCAAAATTTGAATCAACTGTATAACGCCCCTCTCTTGTAAAGTAATATTTTTTATCTAATTTTTTTAACTGTCATAAATATGCTTTTCAAAAAATAGATAAATACAGAATCCCTAAAGAAAGCCCAACACGGCAAAATTGAAAATGTTGCAGGCTCGGTTTGATTGAGCCTGTTCATGGACGGTACTGGAAAGTGCAAGTTACCGTCCACGCCCCCTAGCTCCGGCTTAAGCAGAATTCAACATTTTAACATGAAATAGTAAAATTTTGAATTTAGAAACATCCTATCTTATAAAGTTTATATTGCATATTTAATCTATTAGGATAAACCAAAGAGCATTTTTAAGTTTATGATTTTGGTCATCAATTCTTTGTTCTGATCCTTAAACTCGACTGAGGCCCAAAAGCCTAAAAAATGGCATTCGAATTTCTGACATAGATCAGCTGGGATATATAACTAAATATGTTTACTTTGTAATTTGTTTGAAATTCTGCATTTGGATAAAGAATAATTTCAAACACTTAAAGATCCCGTAACACATTATTTTTATGGTTTTATATACAAATTATGATGCTCAAATTAAGATTTATCGATATTGTATGTTTCAAAAAACATTATTTATAAAGATATTACCGAATTTAATATTTCATGTAAATAAAGGGAGGTAATTAGAATTTAGTTTTCTATAAATTCTAAGTCAATTTTTCCAATAAGAAATGAATGCATATAATTTAATGATTACCTTAAATATGTACAAATATTTGCAATACATATTTTACATATTCTTCCATGTTTGAAAATTGACAAATTTGCATAATTACATACATATATAATTCAATGAAGAGTGGTATGCAATCTCAATTACAAAACATACAGGATCTAACACTTAAATAAGGAAGCAATTCAGTCATACCCGATTCACATTTGTATGGAACTTGCGAGTTTGGTATTGTACATGTGAAGATAAGGTCGTCTCCTTCATTGTCTGTAGCATCTACTGTATATAACGTGTCACCTACTTTATAATTCATAGGGTCTGCAGATATACTTTTTGTTTCGTCTGTTTGAAGAAAAAAGAATGTTATGCTTTCAGTAACTTTATTGTATTCAGCTCTTTCTGATTTTGATTAAGTTGAGTAATTGACGGACGGACGGACTGACTGACTGGTTGATCAGTTGATCAACCAAATAAGTGATTGATTGTACGGTTGGTCGAATCAATTATTCAGTTACGTTAGAAAATTAACATTGGATAGAAAATATACGGTACATAATAGGTATAAACGATCCTGGTAATTCTCGTTTTATTCAAGGACTTAAACAACAAAATTGTTTTGATTTTTTTTCAGGGGGAACTCGTCTATACTATGTAAGGTAATTTCTTTTAATACTCTATAACTACGACTACATTTACTTGATCAATATGTTAAAATATAAAAGATAAAAGTAACATATCAGACATCTGAATTATATACTAGTAATGAAAATGAAACACACTTGTAAAATTTGTAAAGGTAGGAGCTTGATTCAATGTTACGTGTATTGTAAGGACATCTGTATCATTTCCTCCATGACTGTCCGTGCACTCGATTGACACTGAGTAGGTTGTTGTAGCAGACGACAAAACGCCTTCCTCTTGGTTCTTTATCACGTACACTGCATATGTAATTATAACGAGTAAATTATAATTTATTACCAACTTTCGACAATTTTTATGTCATAAAAAAATTTGGATTAATTTTATCTGTTTGGATTCTTTGCATATACTTTGTAATGTAATCTTTCTTAAATCTACCGCCTGCATTACAATCTGAAACTTTTTGAGTTGTGCTTTTATAGGGTCACAAAATCAGTACATTATTTGTCCATTTGCGAACTGCTTTCATTTGTTCAGACATTTTAATCTAATCGGCCTATCGGTATCTGCATATTTACTCAATTTTGTACATGTCCTTGCAAAAAGATAAGTCCTAAGAAACATAGTCATGTATTTTTGTTGTGATGTCTCCGTACCTCCAGATATTGGTGGAATTCTTTCAAGATAAAATGGCAGAACAGAGGCTGCATTGACAATTTCACATGTAAACGGGTCGTTGTCGTTTTCATCTTGCACATCTACCACGAAAACAATACTTTCTGTTGCCAGGTCCTCCGATACATTAACAGTAGCTGGTAAATTAGTTATATTGACAGCCTATTGAAAGATAAATATACATTAACTTTCTTGGTGCATTCTATCATTTTGTGAACAAAATTGTTTTTTTTCGTAAGCGTTTATGCATATAAAATCATCAGCTACATTTATTGTATTGCCAGTAAGTAACTTTATCATCATCATCATCATCATAATCATCATCATCATCGTCATCGTCATCATCATCATCATCATCATCATCATTATTATTATTATTATTATTATTATTATTATTATTATTATTATCATCATTATAACTATTATTATCATTATTATTATTATTATTATTATTACTATTATCATTATTATTATTATTATTATTATTATTATTATTATTATTATTATTATTATAATTATTATTATTACTATTATCATTATTTTTATTATTATTATTATTATAACTATTATTATCATTATTATTATTATTATTATTATTATTATCATTATTATTATTATTATTATTATTATTATTATTGACTTCAACTGTATGGAGATATATTTTTCAATATTTTCACATTTATTCAATTAAAAGATTTTTATATTAAATGATACAAAATTCATACTAATTCAATAATAACAATAATCGAAACAGCAAAACTAATTTGACACTTATAAGAAAAGAAATATTAACCAAAAACTAAAGAAGCGGGAGCGTTCCTTTCAGCATATAGTTATAACATAATAAAAATTCAAATGAAAGGCAGAAGAAACTCTTACGTAATTTATGGCTATAACGGTAACTGTCAGCTGGCATTGCCCATGACTACAAGAACCAGAATTCGAAACTAAAGCTGTAATGGAGTAATTTGCTGAATCAAATATCTCCCCAAATTTGGCTGTTGTTGTCACTTTTCCTAAATAGTGAATAATGAAAGTGTTTGTCAATAATAGTGAAAACAGCTGGCTGTAGGTATACGCGGCGTTTGTTTTATTTATAAGGCCTATTTCACATCAGAATTATTGCTAATTTAGAATAATTTTATCAAAGAGGCCCGGGATCACCGATGCCAGCACATTCTGAATGCCACTTTTATAAGTGTTCTGGGCCATTTCATGGTCTATTGCAAACCATAACAGGGTAAATTAAATGAGGTCTACTTTACTATCTCGTTCGCACGACTTAGTAACTCGTGGCCACGACTCAGTATATCGTGCCCACAACTTAATAATCTCGTGCCCATGACATAGTAACTAGTGGTCACGACATAGTTTCTCGTGCCGACGACTTAATTTTCTTATTCCCACGACTAAACTCGTGCCCACAACATAGTTTCTCATGCCCTCGTTTTAATTATCTCGTTCGCTAGACTTAGTAATTCGTGGCCACGACATAGTATCTCGTGAGCACAATATGAAAAAAAACACACACATGGTCACCTCTGTGCCACCATATGTAAAAGTTTTTCCAAATATAAAAATAGACCGATGTGATCCGGAACCCAACATTTCGTTTTCGGTTTTCGCATGTATTAAAGTTAAATAATCAATCTCGAACCATTAAAGCTTCTTAATGCACTTGTTTTATTCTTGAAAAATTATTATGCTGTTCTAATTTAGTGACAGCAATTTATTATGATTGAGAACAACTTTGCCCATAGTTGATCGTTGTAATGAAGTTTTCAGCAGTTTACCTTTCGAGCAATCGATACGATAAGCTAATTCAAGTTCAATTTGACCATATGATTTGGTTGATTTATATGAAATAAAACAGCTGTACCGGTTACTGGATCTACGGCAAACAAATTGCCATGTTTTGATGTTATATCATATCTTAAATTGCTGAAAGTTCCGCCATTAACGAGTTGTTGAATGTCGAATAACTCGCCACCATTAGGGAACTCTGTATCTGTTACGCAATTACTATCCGAGCATTGTGGAGACTCGCTGCAGTATTCTGGAAAGAAAATTAAAGTATTGCTATTATTATAGAAGATATCTCACTGCAACGTGTGAAATTATCAGATGATATCAGTCAAGATTATTATAAGTTCCACCTGTGCAAAAACCACCTGTTTTCATTCTATGTTAGCTAGGAAGTTATCCTGTTAAATGTGTGTTATCGATTTGCCATGCTTTGAATTTAGTACAGCTAAATAGAACTTTAAGAGTTTCTTATAACAAAGTACAAAACAAAACAAAATAAAACAAAGACGATAAATAAAAAAATAAATAAATGATGACCTGCCAACCGTATAAAATCACTACTGGTGGAAAAGAAGCACTTTCGATTTCAGCAGGTGTTAACCTTTTTTTTATTTCCATGGAACACATAAATTGTTTTCGACCCTTTAAATGCAAGACAGGGGCCAAAATTATTCAGACAAAAACAGTTAAATGGCATTTTTTTTTTTACTTTTCGGAGGTTTCTGACTGGCACCTGTCCCGAGTTGGTTTGAAATAGATTTACCAATTTATAATTGAGGCTCACATTGAATACTAGCTAAATTAAATAAAATCACTCTTTTAATAGTTTCTACATGTGTGTGTGAATGATTGTGATAGATTGATTGATTGCTTGTTTGAATGATTGAGATGGTTTGAATGATTGAGAGATTAGCTGATTGCTTGTTTGAAAGATTGATATATCAATTCATTGCTTTTATTATATATTAATGAATTCCGTCCATTTTGCATGTATTATTTAAACAGTAGAATCATACCTTCGATGTCAATAGTAAGGTCTTCACAAATTTCGTTCCTTCTTTCATGACCACATATCTGGATCTTGTATGTCTTGTTGACAACTTTATCCCACAGAAACGTTGTCATTGTTATATTTGCCATACTATCTAGAATGTGTAAATACCTTGAATTACATTACTTAATTTATGCCAAAATTATATTGAGAAAAAGCACTCAACAACACTTTAATTGTTTATGATGATAATGAAGTTCTTCTTGAAAAGCAGGTTATGTGTTCACTAGTAATAGCCAATTATTACGGTGCCTTTGCCACATGACTTTTTGCGATTGACGTGGGACAATAAACTAATACAAATAACGGTTTCAGCAATATTTTCTTCCATATTTCTGTCAGTATTTTATTGCGTAGCATGGGTATATAGCCCGCTTATTTAAGTAAGAATCACACACATATACGAGGGCTGTTCTCATACGAATGCAACTGGGGCAGTTTAAAGTGCTTAAAAACAGTGCCAAAATAATTATCACAATCCTTCAAAATACTCACTTCCATGTAATATACAAAATCTTTATCTTTAAATCCAATGTTTTAAATGCGTTTTCATTATCTTTTTGAGGTATACTGTTCAGACACTGGAAAATGAACGAACCGAGATTTTTTTTGGCGTTTGATAAGTTCTTCCAACAAGTTGTTTTTGAGCCTCGGAAATAGGAAAAAGTCACGAGGTGCAAGATCTGGAAAATAAGGGGAGTCAGGAAGCTCGACAACCTTTTCCTGTTTCAGATATTCTCGTACAACGGCCGCTTTGTGTGACGAAGCATTGTCATGCAACATCCTGACACCACGGAGACCAGTTGCTGGTAGACGGTTTTTTAAATATAGCTTTTATTTATGAAGGACCTTGCCTATATAAAACTTCGCATTTACAGATTTACCCTTGGTACGGCAATTTAAATAACAGGACCTTGATTGGTAAAGAAAATTACATACATGATATTTTTGACGCTCATGGTGCGTATTGCTATGAAAGGTCTTTGACTTCCTTTGGTTGCCCATATTTTGTTATGTATCTTTCGTTTGGGCGAACCCACGTCTCATCGCCAGTGATAATATTTGCAAAAGAACGATTGTTGTTTTTAGGGAACTGTTTTAACAATTGTTTGGAGATTCTTGCCCAAGCAAGTTTTTGCTCTTTTGTAAGGAGATAGGGTATCCATCTGGCACTTATCCTTCTTATTTTTAAATCACGTCTCAGAATTGTATGAGCGACTCCTACAGAGATACCAACACATTTAGCTATATACCTAGTTATAAATCTTGCATCAGTAGCAATCAAATCCCTTACTTTTTCAACCATTTTTTTGCGAAGTTGCAGGCAGCTTTCGGACGTCGTGCTTGAGGTGCATATTTCACTGAATCCACACCACTTTTAATTTCTTACACCACCGTGTGACAGATGAAAACAAGAGCACCGCTAGGCGGAGCATTATATGCCCGAAAGTGTTTTTTTTTTAATAAGGATGAAGCATTTATAAGACATGGGAATTAGCTGTTCATCCTATAAAATTTTACAGCTGTAGGTTGATTAATACTTAAGTTATTAATAATGACCTTAACCTTTGACCTTTTGACCCCAAAATCAATAGGGGTCTTCTACCTTATATGGACAATCATCCTAAAAAGTTTGAATATTGTTGGCCAATTGGAACTTTAATTATGCTCTAGAAACTGTTTTCAGTATTAAGGTAAAAGTGACATTGACCTTTGACCTTGTGACCCCAAAATCAATAGGGGTCTTCTACCCAATATGGACAATCATCCTACGAAGTTTGAATATTGTGGGCCAAATGGAACTTACGTTATGCCCCGGAAACTGTTTTTGGTTTTAAGGTAATTGTGACCTTGACCTTTGACCTAGTGACCCCAAATTCAATAGGGGTCTTCTGCCCAATATGGACAATCATCCTATGAAGTTTGAATATTGTGGGCCAAATGGAACTTAAGTTATGCTCCAGAAACTGTTTCAGTTTATAGGATATAGTGACCTTGACCCTTGACCTTTTGACCCCAAAATCAATAGGGGTCTTCTACCTAATATAGACAATCATCCTATGAAGTTTGAACACTGTGGGCCAAATGGAACTTAAGTTATGCTCGGAAACTGTTTCTAGTATCAATGTAATAGTGACCTTGACCTTTGACCTTGTGACCCCAAAATCAATAGGGGTCTTCTTCCCAATATGGACAATCATCCTATGAAGTTTGAACACTGTGGGTCAATTGGAACTTAAGTTATGCTCCGGAAACTGTTTTCAGTATCAAGGTAATAGTGACCTTGACCTTTGACCTTGTGACCCCAAAATCAATAGGGGTCTTCTACCCAATATGGACAATCATCCTATGAAGTTTAAACATTGTGGGTCATTTGGAACTTAAGTTATGCTCCGGAAACTGTTTTCAGTATCAAGGTAATAGCGACCTTGACCTTTGACCTTGTGACCCCAAAATCAATAGGGGTCTTCTACCTTATATGGACAATCATCCTATGAAGTTTGATCATTGTTGGTCGAATGGAACTTAAGTTATGCTCCGGAAACTGTTTTCAGTTTTAAGGTCATAGCGACCTTGACCTTTGACCTTTTGACCCCAAAATCAATAGGGGTCTTCTACCTAATATGGACAATCATCCTATGAAGTTTGAACATTGTGGGCCAAATGGAACTTAAGTTATGCTCCGGAAACCAAATTGCTAACGGACGGACGGACGGACGGACGTACGGACGGACGGACGGACGGACAGACAGACAGACAGACAGACGGACGCCAGGGGGTATAACATAATATGCCCTTTCGGGCATATAAAAAGTTCATTGTTAAAAAAACACGACATATTTCATTAAATATGGCTTTCGCCTGTATACAAAGAATACAGCGGTTAGTATTTGGTACATGTATACTTAAGTAGATATTAGCGTTAATCGAGCTATTGTCAAAGCTAGACTGAACTAATTTGCACATTTATTGTATCAATTTCATAACCATCTATGCGATACATGTACATTTTTTAGTGCGTGCAAAACGTGGTTAAAAGCGAAATATTGACCCAGTTGCATTCATATTTGAACACCCCTCGTATATATTATATACATGTATATATTTCTTTTTATGGAAAATACGTATTTCCTTCGTAGAGTGAAACCGCGGAAATATATGCATGTTCAAACCCACGGTTCCACTTTAAGAAAAATAAGAAAAATTAATACTGATGTTCTCTTTAAAACATTAATATTAACATGAATATGTAACTCTCAATAATAAGGAAGATCTGCACTTCGTCCTTTGTTAAATAATAAAGTTTCAAAAATGACTTGGACAGTTATTTGAACATGTTTTGGTTTCTTGCACCTAGAAGATCACAAAAAAGGTGGAATAGGCATCGTATTTATGATATTGGATCTCTAATTTGATCAAATCACTTTGATGATGTAAGATTACATAATCACATAAAACAATTTTAGCCTCAGCTCTTCCACATAGTCGGAAACCCACGGATGATTTCACGTAACATGTAATCACAAACTCCTCGCAGCGGTTACTTCCCCTGATCTGTACAGTAACCACTGCCACCACAAGTAAATTCGGTCGAATATAGCCGGATATATTTTTTTCACTTTTAATTTTAAAATAGAATACTTTATATCATTTTAGTTTTCTTTCGTTAAATAGTTATGCCTAATGTACAAGAAAGTAAAAAAATATACGTATAACAATTATTTTGTAAACATAACGAAAGATATTTTCACTGTGACACCGAATGCTTAGTAAACAATGGTAGAATATAAACAGTTATTGAACGATTGCACAAAAAGATTTGATCCGGCACTTGTTTTAAAGTGATAACAAATTGTGTTTCTTGAACTTATTTTGTCTGGTAATGATGTAATTATAAATCTGCCAGTTTGATATGGGATCCCTGGCGTTCTGAAACTGGCCGCCATGTTTTTGTCACATGATACAACTATCATCACGTGATTTCAGTGGTGGCAGTGGTTAAAGTAGCAAAGCGTGACGTAACCGCTGTGAGGAGTTTGATGTAATCCATGTTAAATGTTCGGCCGTTGGTATCCGACCATGCCCGCTTGAACCGAAAATAACCCAGTATTGCCACAAGTGTAGAGCCAGGCCAGTATATACATCTGTACAGTCGAAACAAGCTTTCCAACTTCAGATAATCATCTTGATATACCCGAAAATGATAACTGGACAAAAAATAGAAATTAAATATGTTAAGGGTTAAATATGACGGGGGACTACTTGTGTCTGTCTGAGCAATTTATAAAGGCAAGAACGAATAACTTAGGTAGAATCATCAAAGATTGTTTCCGCCACTAACTTACTATGCGTGTTGCCATTCGAGTCTCCAAGAAAGTAGGTCGTATTCAAATTAGTCTCTATGTCTGTATATACATATTCGTACTTTAACGAATCATTCTCCTTGTCCGAATAAATTATTTCAAATATAGTATCTAAATGAGACACACTCTGACGATTCAAGTCTATATGAGCTGAAAAAAATATATATATGTAAATGTACAATTATAGTTAAAAAATAAAATATTTAAAATGACATTATAAACATTTTTTGTGCTGTAAAGTTGACTTTTATTAGTCATTGACAAACTATTTACTATTATAATTGTGATTGAGCAATAAAAAATGTTACCGGTACTTCACAGAAATGTACGAGGGTCACGTGGATCACTGTTTATTTTTGCATGGTGAAATATAAAATTGAACACAATTATGACTTTCATGTGTGCACTACCTTTTGACTCTTGGATGGGTGCAATGTCTATTTAATACATACGTGATGAGGTTATTTTTTTTTACAATATAATATAAATTATGATATAAAACGCATTTAAAATTAGTTCTGTAATAGATGATATGCTAAGTCATTCATTTAACTCATGCATATTATGTATATACTCCAGTTGATAATATAGGAACTCGGGCATTGGACCGCAGTTTGCGGCACATATTTTCGATCGCGTAACAGTTGTTTAAAAATATTTCTTCTACATTAAAATATCTTTTAGTATTATCATAGTGTATGGCCTCAAAGAATACCTTTTCAATTGGACACAATCAGTTACTTTAAAAAATAGTCGTCAATTTTTCACCGTAATTTTGACTGATTTGTAAACTATTAGATTACTTATATATTATTTTAAATTGAGATTATTTTATTAGAGACCACCCACTCGGATATATGAAAAGATATCAAAGGTCGGACAGACATTATGCAAAGCCGGCACGGATTCAGATTTATGCGCCGCAATATGCTTGCCTGTTCCCGAGTTCCTTTGGTTAATATGGGGTGAACAAAAAAGGAGCTTTTAATTGGTAAAAAGGGATTTAGATGTCAGTATTCTTTTCAACATTAGTGAGCTTTGAACTTTTTTAACAACTTACTCGGCAGATCTCTGTACACAGGAGCTTCATTTTTGAGTACATGAAAAGTGAAGTTTTGAGTGTCCGATGAGTTATAGGCGTCCTTACACTCTATGCTGATTGTGTATTGTTGAGTACGGTTATGTGTTAAACATCCGGTATTAGTGTCACAATAGTATGGGGTTGGCTCCTGGTATTTGAACCCGCAGTTACGTGTTGAACATTCAAGTTTATAAACTGTGTAAGCTGAAATTAGATTGCTATTCAATAAAATGACATACGTTTCCCTTGGTAATTCACACTTCGTTTATCTCGAAGTGAAATGACTGGTCACTTAGTGTCGAGATATTAAGCGTCAACTGTACTACAAAAGAACCTGTAGTAAATAAACTTATATTATACTAACAACCATGATCCGTTACTCTAAATCCAATCAAGATCATTTATACTAACTCCCGTCACGTTCCATTATACATGTACAAACTACCATGATCTGTTACGCTTACTGTCGCCACGTTCCATAACACTTCATTTCACTTACTCACATGACGATCTATATACCATTCTAACTTCCATGATGTTTTGCAAACTAGTATAATTCTTCACACTCACTGCTATTAGGATCTTTTATACTTCAAATAAACATCAAACATTTTTTTATATCTTTACTTACAATCATACGCATAATTCCCATCGCTCCTTAATTCAAATAGGTTCGTTTCGTTTGGGGTCAAACTTTGTATCGTACAGGTTACATTATCTTCCTTGGGATTATTGTAATCATATGTTGTTAGGTTAAATATAGCTATTTCGTCGTCAGTGTCTTCGTGCAAGGAAGAATTCAGTGAACTGCAAATACGGATCGGCTGCAATAAAAAGAATTTGTATCATAGTTTTGGGACCTTTCTGTTGAAAATGTTTCAGAGTACAATCGTATATATACATGTATATACATGCACAGTGCGTTAACTGCAGGTATTAGTTACCCGCACTCCACAGCGTACCAATTAATTGGCTCATTTCTTTGCTGGGGTTTACTTATTATGATGGCAGAGAAGAAAGGGATAGCGATAGAAATAACATATTCAGATTGATGTTCATTGGTAACTTTTTTTGAATTTTATACTCGCAGGCTAAAATATCCATACAGAAACATGTTTAATTGTTAATGGTTCGACCTTAGATATCCGACGATGTTGAAATACTTGCAGTAAATTACAGCTGCTTAATGTCTTAATGAACGCGTCCAGCTTTTATCTTTGGAAAATGTTTTTTATCACTTTAAGGAGATAGTAAAGATGAAAATTTAAGGGTACTTATAAATACAGTAAAGAACCTGCTCGGACTGTACAGGTAGTGGTAGGTCTACTACTGGTAACAAAAGTTTAATTGTTTCCGGCAAATTAAAGGATGAATAACTTCTTTTGATATATGACCGGAGACGTATTAATCACAAATGAATGTTTACGTTTTAAAATGTATTTATTTGTTTAATCAACAAAATATCTTTTCGATGAAGACATATAAGCGAGAATCGAAATTTTGAATGGCATAATTGGTTCTTTTTCTTTCCTTTTTTTCAGTCGAGCAAGAGCAATTTAATCTTATTTCACTTCTTTCCTTTTTACATTGCAATGCTTAGCATTCTAACTTTATTCTTGTACATGAAAACTAGTTTGCAGTTCATACTGTCCATTGTTGGCCGTTGATTGCTTAATAATCCTACCTACAGTTATGGAGATCATACATACCCAGTTAGTGTAATGGACCCGTATATCAAACGAACATGTCGTTGGTTCGCATGATTCCGAGTTAGACACTTGCACAATTAGCCTGAAATCCTTTGTTGGCCAGGCCGGCCATATACTTATATTGCTTGTAATGTATATCTCACCTGTAATACAATTCAGAAACAATCAGAAAAGAAAATAAAAAAAAATCACTCTACTCTATGTGTGTAGACGTCTTCCGAATACTCAAGCATAACTTGGGCAGTAACTTGTCATACAAATGTTGTCAGATTTGAATTTAAAGTTCGTAATAATTTTGATGTCAAATTTATTTTCAATCGTAATCATTCTGCTTTTGTTGTTGTAATATTTCAGAGCCAATCCATATACTGAAAAAGATTAAAAAAGAACTAAGTATGACTTAGTTTTGCTATTTTTCTCCGATTACCAATTAAGAGGAAAAGAGGAAGTTAAATGACAACAATTGAATGTACTGAAATCTTGAAAAGCTGTAGCATTTCTGGATCGTTTCCGGCTTCTTCTTTCGGCATTTTCAACAAACCTGTAGTGACATTTATCTCTGCCTCCGGCAACTTGTTATCGTTATCAACCAATGACCAAGTAAGATTATGCCAGACTGCACTAAAATCAGAGGCAAAGTGACCAGTGGGTGGACCATAGTTCATGACGAAGATAGTATTGCTGTCCCCGCCGTGTCCGTTAGTGAAAGTTCCATATGTGTCATGCAGATCTAGTTCACTTTGATTTTCACAATTAGGCTTTTCAAAACATGCCCCTATAATTTAAACAATTCTAAAACTAAACGTAAAACATATACAGAGGGCAAGCTGTAAGAAAGCACAAAATCATCAATATCGCTTACATAAATTTTGAAGACGTTATTGAACACGCAACTTAACGATGTTGCAAGTATTCAGATTAACATTCTATGGCTCTTTTGGTGGTTCTTTTGCAACTATTTTTAAGCTTTCTTCCAGTCGTAGTACAGACAGTAATTTTAACCCATAAATCACTAAATACCGAAAATGAAAGCATGGAATTCAGTGAAAAAAATGTTCTGCTGTATTTTCTGTCGAATAATGTGCAAGGAATACGGTAAAATTCAATGTCTTGCTGAAATCCAATGTCCTGCCGGATGTCTTGCAGCAGTGGATTCAGTAAAATTTCAATGCCCTACCGAATGATACTGAAATATATCCCCGTCAAATTTCAATGCCCTACCGAATGATACTGAAATATATCCCCGTCAAATTTCAATGCCCTACCGAATGATACTGTAATATATCCTGCCAGCAAGAGATCCGTCAAATTTCAATGTCCTGCTGAATGTCTAACTGGCACACTTTTCATAGGTGGTACACGGAAAAGGTGATAGTTACGCACTCAATAATTGAATATAATACAATATAATATATAATTGTAATATTTAGGAAATAACAAACTCCATATGTTCAATATTTTCGTTCGCTTTCGGCATCTGCTCACCAGAAGAAAATGGAAAACCAAAAGCGCAAACACTTTCCGCGCCCAAAGATGCTTTCGTAATATCTGTACAGAACTAAAGAAATGAGTACCTGCCTATCAGCTTTATCTTGTACTGTTTATTGTTCATCTTCATCAATGAATTATATTAGGAACTTTTTGTTCCGTGGTGACAGAATGAGGGCGTCATTTTATACCGCCTCCGTGGTCGAGGGGTTAGAGTCGATAACTTCTAATCCAGTTACCTCTCTGGCGTAGGTTCGATCCCCGGGAGATGCTTTGGTAGTTTAGCGCGGAAGAAGGTAGTCTAGTACTGGTGTAACTCTCCAAGAGCGATGGTTAGGAAACTACCCGCCTAAATGACTGAAATACTGTTGGGAAAAGGCGTAAAATGAATCAAACAAACAAACAATCCTTAAAACGCCGGTTCCATGAACAAACTGTAATGGTTTAAACGCATCCTTTAAATCGACGTAATTTTCAATTGACGGACACCCAAGCTGAGCTGATACTGTTCAGTGTGTTCACCCTCTGTTAAGACATAACGCCAGCCATATTGAAAGCGACATTTAATCTACATGTCTTAGCGAATTCGAAATTAATAAAACTGACAGTTCTAATACATCTTTTAATCTTACTCTTTCTTTGAAATATGTTTTCAAAATTAAATTAAACTTACATAATTTAATTGTGAGGGTTTTACAACCTCCTCTCTTCCTCCTATCAGATACACACACAGTCATGGTATATGTATAGGAATATTCTTTTGTCAGGTCTTTGTTCACTTTAATTTCAATTATGTCCGGATCCGTTGCTGAATATATACAAAACGTGTTTTGTTTAATTCTAATAACGGACAGAAGCATCGTGCTTAAAGTGCATGCCGCACCTATTAACGGGGAAAACATTGCTCCCATTAATTTTGTGATTTGTTAAATCTCATTCCGATGAAAGCTCCTAGAAACTTTAATAGGAATAATTAGTAACTTCAAATGAACCGCGTCACGACAAAACCAACATAGTGCGTTTGCGACCAGCATGGATCCAGACCAGCCTGCACATCCGCGTAGTCTGATCAGGATCCATGCTGTGCGCTATCAGTTTCTCTACTTGTAAAAGGGTTGGTAAGCGAACAGCATGGATCCTGATCAGACCATGCATTATGTTGGTTTCGTCATGCCGCGGCTGAAATTATTTTGTATATTAAACTAGTACAATACTTGAACACCGATTCAATTTCTAGCAACAAGGCCGAGTGTCTTACTTGCCAGACTAGTTATCTAAAGAAAATTTGGCCCCGTGGTTTCAAACACCGTTCAGAGGCAATCATTTGTTTCTTTTAGCAGGAAACTTTCCACTCATTGCTTAGTACTGGTTTATTCCAGTAACGGATTCTAGAGTGTGTTTACAAGCTTTCAGCTTCCTGTAAAATCGAACTAAAATGGATTTTGTATAAAGTTATTTATGCAGTGCTTATATGTATGACAGTCATATGTACATGTTTATGTAATAGCATATAACAAAAATGCTAAGGGAGCTCAAAATAGGTTTTAGAAAAAAAAATGAATACAGTCAGACCTGTATTAAAGGCAATCTCTGAATACACATAGCCTTGTGAATAGAGACTTTTTTCAACAACCGGTAATTGATTTAGAAGAACAAAGTACCACTCAAATAAAGACATACTGTCCAAAAAGGCCTTTAAGGTCTATCGTTTAGATGGCATTGTCTCAAAGACTTGACTATACAAGTATCACTCTTAGTTCCGACGAAAGTATAAAATATCTGAAAATTCAAGAAATGAGAAATACGATGAAACTAATTCACACCTCAAGGGTCAACACAAGTAATTATAAATTAACTTTCACATCTACGTATTACATTGTTGATGTTGAGATCATAAACTTGTATTGACACGTGATCACGATCTCAGTGAAGCATAAACGCTATAAAGACGGTATAAAGGGAAACGACATCATCGCCGTGCAAATAACGCAAGCAAACGTAACGCCAAATTCTGCAAATATGTAGCTGAAACTAGCATCACCATGATGGTGATATATATAAGATTAATACATGCATGTATTATTTCATAGTTAATCATTGTTCGTGAAGTTGGCAGCCTAGCAGCCTTGCAGTCTGAAGTTGGCAGTCTAGCAGCCTGGCAGCCTAGCCTAGTTTAAAATATTGAACTTTTTTTCTTCATTCTGACGCTTCGAAATTTGTGAAGTTAGCAGTCTACCACCCTAACAGCCTAAAGAAAACTAAGGATAGTACAATCAAGAAAACCGTCGGAAATGAATCGGTAGCACATACTTAGACCATTCCACGTCTTATTTCAATATCGGGATCTTTGTTTTTTAAAATATTGATCTTTATTATTTTTTTTCATTTTGACGCTTCGAAATTTGTGAAGTTAGCAGCTTGGCAGCCTAGCAACCTAACAGTCTGGCAGCCTATCAGCCTAGCAGTCTGAAGTTGGCAGCCTAAAGAAAACGTAGGCTAGAACAAACATGAAAACTGTTGGAAACCTTACTCAAGGAAACAACGACTTGCCCCTGTCAGGGTTTGAACCCGCGCGGCTAGCGATCATACGATTAATAGTCCGAAGCGTTAACCACTCGGCCATGCCGCCACTTTTAAAAGAAATATGCAAACAAATGTACCAACTATAATCATGAAATTACGATATAGATATTACCCCGAAGGACGTCTGTTTTCGGTTGGACTTCTGATAAATTTTAAATGGAAGAACTGAATATATGTACAAGTTTTAACATTTCCAATAATGTTTGGAATCGCCGTTCAGGGTTAGCATATATAGAAATGATTTTTAATTTCTTGCCTAATACCCTTTTCATCCGCATTCAAATATAGTCTGGATGCAGTAAAAATTATATTTGGCAATTTCACTGTGTTTATGAAATCATCAGTGTAAGGCAATTGTAATATATTGACTCCCCTATTGGCACAGATATATCTTTATTTAGCTCCATGCTATTGGTCAGCAAGCTGTTAAGCCCCGTCTATATTTACCTGGGATCACCTCTCTGTAGTATCATTAATAAAAAGATTTAAAAACCGAACAACTACGTTGTTAAATCTCTCTACTCGTATTGCCTAGTAACTATCATATAGCAAATATTACAGTTTTGCATAACAACAATTATATCATCTCACCATCATCATCCTTAAAATATTAATAATTTAAATCGTCAACATAAATTCAGTCCTCGTCATTATAATACAAATCTTATGTAAATAAGAAATGAATCACATGTTGTTTTTTCAGAGATTGGAAAAGTTACATATTTTTAAAGATGCCAAATATATCAAATAACGATATTCACTATTCCTGAACTATGATCATTATAAAAAGGTAAAGAGTTAGAAAAAAGTCTGTCTCATCACAAGGAGAAAATAACCTTGCATTGTAAATTTCACCATTAAACCGCTTTCTAAATGCACCGTTTTAGCCCGCCAAACACAATATCTTTAAAACGGATCATGATAAGAAGACGCTCATTTGAAAACGACATATTTCTCATGGATTATAGACGCTTAAAAATGTCAGTGTATTTGATACGCAATCTTACATAATCGGTACCGCGATTGCGACCATGACAAATGCTTAGACGCGTCGTGTTGGTGTGTTTGTATTTAAATAAAAATCAAGAAAAGCATTGATGCAAAACATCAAATGGCGTCGAAGCAAGAAATGCAGCATTGAAGAAGAGCTAGTAGACATCTGATGACCACATACGAGTATTCGTATAAACTTTCAATGGTTAATATCAGACGATAGACATTGTTCATTATGAACCTTGGTAAAGAATATTAAATGTTGTTTTCCACAGGAACTTGAAATTATATCAATATCAACGATAAAATACACAAGTTTATTATATCCAAGTTTATTATATCCAAAATATGGAGGGGATCAATCTACTATTTTAATCAATTACTTCAAAATTTTCGTCTGACACATCCGTGTGTTTACATGTCTATAATTAAAACCCATAATGACTCATGTTAAAATTGCAGACGAAAGTTCCTGTTGTTAAAATGACACAATATTCGGAAAATCAACATTTCGCTCAAAAAAAGAAAAGACAATTTCAAAATGATATAACAATTCGTAAAAATAACACACTTAATTTTTTTTTATAGATTTATAAAGGGTGCAATTAATTGTTTGAATATGTTTGCAATTCATTTCCTGCAAAATTCTCCAGTTCGTTATTCATTGAATATGTTTGCATTACGAAATTATCCAGTTCGCTATTCATTGTACCTTTCATTTTTGATAATCAAACACGCTCATACCAATCGGAATGATCGGCTATTATGACTGACGAAAAGGCCCGAGAAGTTGCACTTGCCCTTTCACAAAATCTGATTTCATTCCATAAGGGGCGTCACGCTTCGGCGCGGACGCCAATAAATAAATAAATAAATAAATAAATAAAAGAAAACTAACAATGATAATAATAATAATTGTCCGCATTATTACTTGTTATTCATCTTACTAATGATGCGGTTTTTTGTTGTTGTTTTTTTTCAAGATTACATTCTCTTGTATTATATTGTTGAATCTTAAAATACATCAAAGAAAATAGTAAAATGACTATCAATATGATCAATAACCTGTTCTAACAAAGTAAAATGAAATAAAAGTAAAAATATATAAATTTAAGATATTAAGCTGATATTCTCAACATTCCGGTACGATAGCCTGACCAGGGGCGTAGCTAGCGTAACGCACTTATGTGCGTAATATTTGTGGAGCAAAATGAAATGTAGTGAGATTATCAGCAAAACAATTGTAGAGGCATACACGCCGCTTCATTATTTGGCTTTATCGTCTACGAGACCATGGATGCGGCAATCATCGAGCAATGGGTTCAGATAATCTTTATGTTCATTCATATGTTCGTTTAAACAAATTCGTTGTATATCTCTTCCCGTTTCAACACATTTATAGACCTAAAGTAAATATGCCTCGAACATCGTCAACTTTCTTATAAATATATACATACAAAATATTTTGACGTCGCTTAATCTCCATTTTAACCACATTTTATCCGCCGAGAAAATGTTGTTAGACTAAGACTACGAATGAGACTTTTGGTGCGTCAATGAGAAGAAAACAAACGGAAACTTTTATACGCGGATGTGGACGCTGGACGACACGGTGCGAGTCTTCACTTTTGCCGGCTTCGTCCACTCTAGAATCTGTGCTGCGATATATATACAAATAGAGCTTAATCAAGATGTAAACAGGTGTCTGCCATTGCTTCAAGCAATGCAAGTTTCTAGCGAGAGCGCTGACCGTTCGTAAAGCAACACGAAAATCTTTCTTGCGCTCATCAATGACCACTGGTCGGCCCTTATTATGTACCATTGATGCATTTCCGACTGTTTTCATGTTTGTATAATTCAAAGTTTTCTTAAGGTTGTTGCTAACTTCACAAATTTCGAAGCGTCAGGATAAAAAAGTTCAATATTTTAAAAAGGAAAGAAAAAAAAACTTTCAAATCTCAATATCTTTATAAATAAAATGAAATCATGATATTAAAATAAGGCGTGGAATGGTCTAAGTATGTGCTACCGATTCATTTCCGACGGTTTCCATGTTTGTACTATCCTTACTTTTCTTTAGGCTGCTGGGCTACTAACTTCACAAATTTCGAAGCGTCAGAATGAAAAAAAATATGTTAACATAAAGTTCAACATCTTAGAAATAAAGATCACGATATTGAAAAAAGGCGTGGAATTATCTAAGGAATTGCTACTTATGTATTTCCAACCGTTTTCATGTTTGTGCTATTCTTAGTTTTCTTTAGGCATGCTAGGCTACCAGGCTGCTAGACTAATAATATCTTTAATATTTTGCGGTTCGGATAGGAATCTCCGTCCCGAGGTGACCCGCCCATTGGGCGGTAACGAGGCTTGCATGTTCTACCATATTCCGTTACATTTTAATTTCTTTATCTTTAATTTCAATGGAAATTTATATCATTACAACCGTAACTACTTTATTACAACAGCGTATGAATAACAACTTCATTCATAATGGTAAAATGATGTCATCCTAAGCGTGCTGTTGTACAGCACGCGACTCATCTGGCACCCCCCATGCCAGATGAAATTTCCGGCATGGGTAAAACACACGGAAACGCCAGTCTGATATGCAAGAATGCCAACTTCAGGCTGCTAGGCTGTTTATTTCACAAATAACGAATCTTCAAAATGAAAAAAAATCAATATTTAAAAAAAATAAAGATCGCAATATTGAAATAGGACATGAAATGGTCTTAGTATGTGCTACCGATTCATTTCCGACGGTTTTCATGTTTATACTATCCTTAATTTTTGTATTTGTTGTTTGTTTTTATAACATTTAATACCATACTACATTTATGTATTTAAATTTGGTATAACTTTGTACAATTCCGATGTTTTAAGTTATGCGTCACGGAAAAAAGGTATTACAGTTCTTTTTCTTATCTCTTTTAAACAATATGAAAAGTCAAGTTATACTTGTATCCAACGAAAAGAGATCCTTAGTTCCAATTTCATAAGACGATTCCGGAACAATGCTTGAATTGTAACTTGCGTGATCATCGTCATTAGCATTATCTTTTAAATTGGTCACAACGATCGTGTTGATGACGTAACCAACACCCATGTTATCGTGCGTCACGTTAATAGAATTTCCATCTGTAATTAAAAGAAGAAGAAGAAGAATACGACATTTTTCAGAAAAAATGCTGTGTAGTGATTACATGGGGTATATCTAACTTTGAAATAATTGCTGTATATTTTCACTCGTACTTATAATCTTGTCTAACAAATTTAAATTCTTATTGAAATGTGTCCGGGTTACATATTCACTCACTGGAAACAAACAAATAAACTCTCTTTTTTTAAATATATAAACAATAGTATTAAAAAGATACAGGTCATGCCGCAATACCGTTGAAACTAAGTGAAACTAAACAACCCCATAAGCTTTGTGCTCCTGTAAACATTGATCATTTTCAATTGAAAATGAAATATGTTCCACGTGTTCGTTGAATTCAAACATTTACTTTCCAACAATAAAATGCTTCTGAAATATAAAAGTAAATTTATCTTTTGGATTCCCGAGTTAAATAAGTTAATGCATTTTGACATTAATTTCAATGACACTATATGTGAGTATATCAAGATTTATAAGAACACAAAGAACACTTAATGTCCAAAAGACAATAAATATATTATAAATCCAATAGTCTGACAATTTAATAAACGGAAAAATATTATTGCTGGAACACCATTTTTCATGGAGCGCTTATCCAATGTCTTAGGATAAAAAATCATCGAGACTCAATCCTGAGAAATAAAAAAACAAAAATACGTTCAGCTGCTTTACCGACTGAGCTTTCTAATCATGGAAACATGTCGTATACATACAAGTATGCGTCATGTGGAACTTTTGCTCATGGAGCTTAAAATACTAAAGTTGCAAGAAGTTATTAGTGTGTTTTAGGGGCGAAAGGCAAAATATCAAAACACGAGTTTACGACAAACGAGTTGTTTCGTGTTTTGTGTGATAGCTCTTTTCCCTGACATATTAATCGTGTTGTGTTTTCTCATTCTACTAATCAACGTGACTGTACTATCGAGTTAGAAACACTTGTCACGTGTGTAGTACTTCAAGATGTCACACGTGCATCGCTTCATCTTTTCACATGTACAGTACTTAATGTTGTCACGTGCGCATCAGTGCTTCACGTTTACACGTGACAGCAATACTTTACGTTGTCAAGTGTGTTATACTTCACGTTGTGACATGAAAAGTACTCTAAAGTTTCACTGGTGTAGGTTTGCAACATTTTGCTAGTTCAATCGGGAAGATTTTATTTGATGTCTACATACTAGGTAGTAATGTAATTTAAGAATAAATTATAACAACAATCAAAATAACAAACTTTAATATCTCTTACTCGAAAATTCAAATGTTGGCGGATTTGCTTCTGAAACCGTTACAACAAATGTATTTGAGACCGACCCGGGATATGCATTATTTTTGCAGGTGACATTTACAATATATTCGGCCGGACCAGTCAAACAACCAGCGGTGATGCAATTACTACAATATTCGTCACTACACGTTTTCTTCTGGATGACCGTCCCTGAAACGATAATAAATGATAAACTTAAAAGCAATGTAAAACATAATTGATACATAGTATTAAACAATAAGGTATAATGGACAATATCAGTCTAAAATATTTATTTATTTACTTATTTATTTATTTATATCTGGCTATAAGTTAATGCACTATAATTTCTGATAGCATTTATCTCTGTAAATCATTCAATTTTGAAGTTACATATTACTTTATGCAGTTAAAGTTTACTTACATTAGACATATATAATTATACAATATGTACTATTACTATGATCATTTCCATAAACGATACACTTATATATATCAGACTTGTACTGTTGTAGTTGCTGTAAAGCAAACTCTTGGAATATTCATACCATTCATTATAAAATGGTCCGACGGATTTGATGTAATCTCACAGTCATTGCAGGCCACTGTGCATTCGGCTGTTACGGTGGTCAAATCATAAAGGGCGTTGTGATTTTCATGAATTGTTATATTCATTGGTGTGAATGTTACACTGTTAGCATCTACAAATAAACAAGACATACAAGTTGTTATAATAACACACTATATCATCTTTAGGTAATTGTAATACGTTGTGTTGTCTAGTATTTCTGTTCTTTAAATAGAAACTCCAAGCATACAAACTTTGCATGTTCGGTAATAGATATCAAATATCTAAAATAATTTAGTCGTACCCGTATCAATTACATGTCGCATGATTTTATTGGTTAAGCGGTCGAAAAATGCTTTGATTTCAATTCTGATTAGTATTGAGTAACGTGGAATGTTTATAGCCTGTTTAATGAACTTTGAATTATTGAGTTGACGTAATTGTAAAGAAGTGCATTGTATCAATACACTCGTATGTTTAAAACACTTGTTTCCTTCGTTATATTTCATTAATGAAAGGCACATATTAGTTTAATAAAGAAAGAAGCGTTAAGGCTCGCAGTAAAACAATTGAGCCGCGTCATGACAAAACCAACATAATGCGTTTGCGACCAGCATGGATCCAGACCAGCCTGCGCATCCGCGCAGTCTGATCAGGATCCATGCTGTTCGCTATCAGTTTCTCTACTTGTAATAGAGTTGGTAAGCGAACAGCATGGATCCTGATCAGACTGCGCGTATACACAGGCTGGTCTGGATCCATGCTGGTCGCAAACGCAATATGTTGGTTTTGTCATGACGCGGCTCAATTACATTTATCTAGCCGTATATCATGTCCTCACTCGTTACCAACTCATAAACAAATGTCATGTTTCAAATTTATTGAAAAAAGTGAAGACCCATAAAGGTATCTGACAAATAATATACAAAATGTATAAAAATTTAGATGATTAAGAAAATGACGTAATAAAATAACAAATGAAACTATCATCTAGAGTGACGGAGAAAAATTATAATGATACTGGAAAATTATCATGATTTACTTTGCGACTTAAAATTTGATAACTTTTAGAAAGTTAATCTTTTGTCACAATTCATTAGTATAGAAAATTTAATAGCAGAAGGGTTGTTGAAAAAAGTAAGTGTCTAAATATTTCTTTGTTCAGTACAGTTGAAGACATAATGAAATTCATCACCCAACATATTGTTATTACAAAATTACATTCTTTCTATTTTCATTTGTATAATCTTCCTTTTTCTATAAGTAAGATATGTTTCATAAATTCTTATTTACACTACGAAATATTAAGATAAAAGAGCTACAGTGTTAAAAATTTCCCCAAAACAAGACTATTGTTTATTCAGTCTATAATTTAAACATTTGCTGAAATTGCCTATCGTACTTTTTTAATTTAATTTTCTATACAGTAAACTAAACATTAGGCTTAAAATTTACACTGTGCGGCAGCCACTAGTGGGCAAACGCTTTTTTACAATCTAAAAAGCGCTTCCAAAAATTATTTTGACCCAAAACCGAAAGCATCGGGGTCTGCCCTACGTTATCTTACTTATCGTTTTTGATGTATTGTTTACACAAAATGATTGAAATTGAAAGCCTCATTGAACTGGAAAAATATGGTTCAGACATATAATTAATATAAGAAAATATAATAGAGTAAAATTCATTTTAAGAACTGAAGATGGCTGTGTCCTTTTATAATGCATGTACTGCATTTTGTACTGCATGTTTGTAACTCATTTTTTATTGGATAAAGTTAATAAAATCAATATACACGATTGCTGTAAATTCATTTAATATTCTTCTTTTTCACCTCAAATAAAGGAATTGTGCTGTTATATAAGTATCGTAACACAAGGCTATCTGATTTGTACGAGGGTGCGTAAAAACACGTTCCCTCTTGTCACAATATGATCCCCTCCCCCCCCCCCCCAAAAAAAAAGTAACCAATGAACGGGCATCCTAATATGACATTTATGTCCTCACATTATGTAAACCCCAAAACCCCAGAAAAATGAGCCGGTCAATGAGCAAGTTATGGAGTACGGGTAACTAATACCTGCACTTCAGTTTACTCACTGTGCATGTATAAGAATACGATTTAACTCTGACACATTTTCAACAGAAAGGTCTCCAGTCTATGATCCAAATTCGTTTTAAAGCTTTTGTCGAGAATAAAAGTTTGTTTGTAATTAATGAAGCTGTTTATTAATTTGAAAAATAATATTTATATATAGCTTTAGACAATGCAAGTATTACTATTATTGCTCTGTAGATGAATAAAACAAATTGTAGAACAAGTATTATAAGTAAAAGAAGTGCATCGAAACACGAGGCTATCTGATTTGTGGGAGGGGGGCTTCGCTTATAGGCAAACATTAAAACACGTTTCGTGTTGTTCCAACAGGAAACCCCAATGAAACCTCAGAAAAAAGTAACCAATGAACTAGCATCTGAATATGATATTTCTATCGCAATCCCTTTTTCTGTCGTCAAATAAGTAAACCCCAGGAAAAAAGCCAATCAATGGCATGCACTGGATGGCGGGTAACTAATACCCGCACTCCAGTTAACGCACGGTGCATGTATATGTATACGATTTAACTTTGACACATTTTCAACAGAAAGGTCCCCAGACTATGATACAACTAATGTTTGGATAACTTTAAAAAAACAACATTTTTTGCTTGCGATGTGTGAAGTTGGGCTTGGCGGCCCATCGACATAGCGGTGTGAAGTTGGCGGCCTAGCGGCGTGAAGTTGGTGGCCTAACGGCCTAGCGGTGTGAAGTTGGCGACCTAACGGCCTAGCGGCGTGAAGGTGGATGCCTAGATGATCAGT